TCAGCTGGAATGCCATCACCTCCACTGGCCTTGTTGTTAGCCAGGCTTTCTAAGGCCCACTTGACTTCACTCTCCAGAATGTCTGGCTCAAGGTCAGCAACTACATTGTCTGGGTTGTCCTGGACATCCAGATCTTTCTGGTATAATTCTTCTGTGTATTCTTGCCACCTCTTCTTGATGTCTTCTGCTTCTGTGAGGTCCCTGGATTACTGTGATGTTGAAACGTCTGCCCTGGATTCGTATAGAAATCTTTCTATCATTTTTGAGATTGCATCCCAGTATGGCTTTTTCCACTCTTTTGTTGACTATGAGAGCTACTCCATTTCTTCTATGGGATTCTTGCCCACAATAGTAGATATGGTAATCATCTGAATTTAATTTGCCCAGTTCCGTCCATTTTAGTTCACTGACGCCCAGGATGTCAATGTTTATTCTTGCCATTTCCTATTTGACTACATCCGGCTTACCAAGGTTCATAGATCTTACATTCCAGGTTCCTATACTGTATTTTTCTTTGCAGCGTCGGACTTCCCTTTCACATGTCCACAGCTGCGCATCCTTTCGGCTTTGGCCCAAGCACTTCATTAGCTCTGGAGCTACTTGTCTTTGTCCTCCGCTCTTCCTCAGTAGCATGTTGGTCGCCTTCCAACCTGAGGGGCTCACCTTCCAGTGTCATATCTTTTAGCCTTTTGGAGTCCATGGAGTTTTCTTGGCAAAGAGTGGCTTGCCAGTTCCTGCTCCAGGTGGATCACGTTTAGTCAGAATTCTCCACTATGACCTGTCTGTCTTGGGTTTCTGTGCATGGCATAGCCCATAGCTTCTATGAATTACTCAAGCCACTTTGCCACGACAAGGCAGCAATCCGTGAAGGGGATATAATAGAATACATATTGCTTAATAATTGATGCGTTTATTTTCCTATATACATCTTAAATATGTCACATCATGATAAATCCAAATAATAAAACAAAGATAGACAGTAGATCCATTTTTTTTCAGTGCTGAACATAGTAGGGAGCCAAACTTTGAAAGGTCTGAAAATACAGTGGTGCCTCGCATAACGAGCACACAGTTTAACGACAAATTCACATAGCGATCTGTTTTTTGGGATTGCTAATGCGATCGCATACCAATGTTCTCTATGGCCAAAAATCGCTTTGCGACAATTGGTAAGCGTTTTGCTTACCGATCTTCGCATAGTGATTTTAAAAAATCAGCTTTTCGGCGGTTCCAAAATGGCCGGCAGACGCCCAAAATGGCTGCGCGCAGCATTTTCGCGCCCTGCCCTCACTTACCAAGGACGCGAAAATGGCAGCCAGATGGGGAAACATTGCTTAACAGTGAGTTTAGAAGCTATTGGAACGCATTAAACTAAGTTTAATGTGTTCCTATGGCATTTTCCATTCCGTATAGTGATGTTTCCCCATAGCGACCTCGCTGTGCGGGGCACATCTGTATCTCCCTAAAGCAGAGGTGGACAAAGGGTGATTTTCAAGATGCTGTTTGTCTGCAACTCCAAGCACCGCATACAATTAACTATGCTTGCTGGGGTAGGTGGGCATTGCAGTCCAAAGACATGAAGAGCACTGCACTTTGCCACCCCTGCCTTAAAGAACTATACCCAGTAATACCTATGGATTGAGAATTCAGAAGGCTTTTGTTTGTTTGTTTGTTTTTGGGTTGGTTTTGTTTTACTTAGTTTTATTGCATTTCCAAGGTGCAAGATAATAGTCATAACAGTTTCTTGTCCATACAACAGCACTGGATTTCGGTTCTATTCAGTAGCCCTTTATAGAGCAAGGATGATTTGCTGTAGCCCAGGTATAAGACTGGATAACAATAGCCATGAGATCCACACATCATCTTCTGAATGAATACAGTCTGAATTTTATGTTTCTGCCAGTCAAATTAGTCATATCCATGATTACTGTAGTCTAACATTCGGTGATGGAGAGCTACTTTGCAAAGCAGTGCAGAGTTTGATACAGGAGATAAAATCTCAGTTAAGGATGTTCTTTGCTTTGGGACCCGTAAGGACTCTTTCCTCCTCTCAGACAACGGCAGTGCCTTGAACACCCTGGCCGAGCCGTTGGGCACATTCGGGACTGGAATGGACATTTATCTTCACAGCTGTTTAAAGACAGGAAAACAGAGAAGACAGTATGGTAAGTATGCAGTGTGACGTGAATGGTGTGAAATAGAATAGAATAGAACATGAGTATTGTAATTGCTTGGGAAGATCATAATGATTACTTGTTATTCTGTAAATGCTAATTATTGTTTTATTGCACTTGGGTGACAGGTGCACATTTTGCTTTTATAAATAGCTCAGTGTTTATGTTTACACTGGAGCCACTTTCCCTCACAGACTAGCCAAATCTCACAAAATAAGGCCTGTCTCTGCTGGTCAGATTGCAAATATAGTTTAGGTCTATAATATAAAGTATAGGAAACTATTTCCTCCCATAGGAAGCTGCTCGTTCATTAAGATCTGGGAGAGGTTCTTCTCCATATGGATTTACTGATGTCAACACATCCAGGTCAGGTATAGGAGGGAACCTTCTCTGTGGACATGTCTAATGTATGGATTACCTCATGTGGAAAAATGAATTTGGCCCCTAACTTCTAACTTTCTTTGATTTGGCTAAGATGTTTCAAAAAATGAATTTGGCCCCTAACTTCTAACTTGGCTAAGATGTTTCCCTTGTGACAATTATTTAGCCTGCCAGATCAAAGATCCTGTTTATTAATTACATTTCTACCCAGCTATTTTCCCAATGAAATCAAGGTGTCATATGAAGCAGTCTTCCTCATCCCTTAATTTTCAAAACAACCCTGAGAGATCTATCAGGTGGTCAGTACAGCTGGCTCGAGGCCAACTACTGTGTTCCATGACTCAGTTTGGGCCATCCAGCTACCTCACCACACCACCCATTCTGCATCTTATTAAAGAAGAGACAGGAAACCTTTGGTTCTCCAAATTTGGGAGGGGGGCATAGCTCCCCCAATCTCTTACAATTGACTGTGCTGGGTAAGACTCATGAAAGTTGCAAGCCATAAACACCCGGAAGGCCAAATATTCTTCACTCCTGATTTGAAGGCCTTTAAAATCTCTTCTGTTTATTTTATCCAACGGATAAGATTTAAACAACATCTCAAGGGGAATATGTAGCTTACATTTTATTGGCTTGATCCAAACTCTTAAATTACCTGCATTTGGTCACTGGACGCAATTATTATTTGTTTATGAAATATGTTTATGGATTACTTTTCGACATACCATGGCTTCCGAAACAATGATAAAATAGATTACATTTTTTTAAAAAAATTAAAACAATTTTGAGAGCCCAGTTTTAAAAACCGAAGATTTAACAGAATAATGCAGCTTTGACTGTCCATCAGAAGTTCACCAAGGATGGAGACAGTCTAAAGGCTCTTCAGAAATACCACTACAGAGAAAGCCCTGTCTTGTAAACTCAGTCACACAGTCTTTCAAGCTGGTGAGACACTGAACAGGGCTTCCTGATGAAATCAATGGAATGTAAGTACAACTAAATTAGTCTGGATCAACTCCTTCACCTTTATTTAAATGAATCTGCCAGAAACTTCATAATAAAACAAAACAAAACAATATATCATATCATATTATATGTTAGCCGCCTAGAGTGGTCTTAACCGACCAGATAGGCGGGATAT